ACCGTCTAACGCTTCCAGGTTTTCAATAGTACTCCAGCTTAGATCAACTCATCAGTTCAACTAATTGATCGATTTGTTAATCAAATACCATTAAGCATGAAACCTACGATTTATTGACTTGTTATAACAGAATGCCTGATCATTTCGTATTTGAAAATGAATTCATTTTGTAAACACTCACTGACTACAATTGAAAAGCAGAGAGAAATGGACACCTATTTTCAAAGTGATGCTTGATTGTACTTTGGATTGTTTACAAACACTCAAGCAGCATTGGATAGAAATCCACTCAATGTTTCGTTACTAGCATGGCATATTGATTGATGTATTGAATGAGATTGTGATGTAAATTGTTTTAGAATAAAACTTATCTTGAAACACTTCATCAAAGCAATCTCAATTGATTTGTTCATACTGTTTAATTGATAAATCTGTTGTTGGGAAAATTCCAAAATACATTTTGAGAATTGTCAACAATCAGTTTATGTGAAGCGTTTAAATGTACAATGTTAGCATATCAGTAATGCTATAGTTTGCTAAATTAATCCAATAGGGGCTGCACTAGTTGATGTATTGATTGAAGTTAGACAGTGAAACCGTTGTATGTTGGTTTAGTATTCCATATGATAAGCGTTCGTGTACGAGTTCGAAGTTGCTTGGTTTGAGTGCTTCGTGTGTGATGTTGGATACACACTACTGCATAATCCTATACTGGGACGATACGGTCATCTAGAATTTCTAAGTTTTGAATAATAGTCTAGCTTAGTTTGATACATGATTTCAACTATTGAGTTTGAATTGTAATATGTTTAACTAATTATACTGTTATTTAAGGACAATAATATAAACAATACTTTCAATTCTCATTAAGTAACATATTTATATATGGGTATCTTGAGTTAATCTAACTTAAATATAACCTGAAAGGTATACAACTTTAGATAAGAATAGTATTACATCTACTTATATGTATGTATAAGTTAGATATTCATCATAATTTCTAATTTAACAAAACAGTCATTATTGTTCTACATTGAAACAATGAACTTATTTCGATGAATCAATAGTAATATAGGTCATTATATATATAAATGGATCATTCCCATGAATAACTAATTTATTCCTAGTTAATTGAATGTTGATTCAACTTGACTTTAGTGAAGATAATGACTATTGTCTGATATTTGTTTAAATATAGTGCGAGGTTATTATATTTCTGTATCTAATGAGCTTTGATAGATGTTTGTTACAACATGAGAAATGATAACTCTTAATATAAAGAACTTAGATGTACAACTGTTAAATGAAGTTAATGAAAGTGATCTGGTTTTAGTTAGATATGTATACCAGTGGATGTTGGATAAGTGCCTATTGTGATATGAAGATCCTGGGTCCTATCACCAATGGGGTTGTGAATCTGCACAGCTGAATGGTTCCATACTAGGGTGAAATATATGTTCAATACTTTCTACTTTTGTAGTGTTCATCCAACTTGGGCATGTTCATTAATTTAATAACATTGATGATATTTTGTCAACTACTAAAATTGTTGATCCCTTAAATGTTAACCTGGAGTTTTGTCTTTAATTATCCACTCAGTTAACAATATATCTTGCGATTCTGAAGTGCTCAAAGAATACACACTCGCTAACTCACATTATATGTCCTGGTCTAAAACAGAGATGTGATTTTTTGATGGATCTTATGAAATCTATGAAAATGAATACTCATTAAATGATTTGAGGGGTGTTATATACTATTATTATTGTTCTGTTTTGAATAGATTACTTCTGCTACAATTATGCACCCATTGTAAATAGGTAATATTAATTTAACTTATTTTGCAATCACATGTTTGTGTATCGGGTTTCGAACTACATGTTTCAGTATAAAAATTGATGACAACGCCCTACCATTCAAACTGAGTTAGAATCCAAGCTCTTCAGTTGATAAGTTGTTATATCTTGTGCCCCTATCAATGTATAACGTAATGATACCACCAATTAGAGAACAGTGAATTATCGATCGGACCAATGACGCATAAAACATCAACGAGCAGTCTAGAGTCCTTATCGGTATTGCTTCCCACCTAGCCCTGCTTGTTAAGTCCAGAACACCAGTCTCAGCCTTTGTGATATGAATCATTTATTTTAAACACACTGAGTTTATATACCAATCAAACAGACCACACCGTACCATAAAATAGGAAACAACACTTGTACAAGATTTAGCCAAATGTGGCTGTGAAAAAGGGAGACAGAAACTGATAGAGTGGGAGTAACTCAGGAATGGTAAATCGTATGATAATAGTTCACAGGTCAAAATAAAGCTCATAATAAAAGGGACATGAATATGAATAGTTTAGTTACTTAACAATAATACGATAAAAATATACGCATAGTATTGGTCCACAAATGAATCCCCAAAGTTATCATTCATTAGGTTTATCGTGACATAACACCTCCCCTTTTTTGAAGATGCGGAGTTGATATTCGGATTTCAAATTTTCCGGGTTTATCCTCCCCCTCCAAAATAGTATTGGATCCTCATATTCCCAAGTTACAATTAATTTGACTTTATTTAAAACATATTTGTCGCATTGAACAGAGAATCCACTAAAAGTGATTAAATGGTGAGGATCAACAACACTTGATATGAGGTCACCAAAGTTTGATTCTTCTGAAACAGCTTCCTCAAATTTATTGAGAATCTCATTGGTAGATAGTGGATCACTATGATAATCATCATCCATCAAAACTGCATTAGGTTCTTGATTGTCATTTGATGCATCTGACATATTTTCCTCATTTTTATAAGAATTTTTATCAAGAACATGTGAGTCATCAAGATAATTCATATCTGGTAAAACTAGAGAATCTCGATAATTAGATTCCCGAGAAACCTCTATCACAGAATGATGAGCTCCATCTGGTGCAGCTGTATTCAGTGTACTGCTCAATATGTTTTCTGTTTCTTTGTGGGTGATTACTGCGACGACTTCATGAACGTTTAACAGGGAATCGTCTTTTTGTGAGCTGGACAATTCACTGTTTGCACATACTGTTTCGAGGATAATGGGGTTTAAACCCCCTACCAGGCATGCCTCTAAAATTGACAGTACTGGACCACTGGGCGGATCTTGAATGACTGCAGTTTCGTTTAAATTACGGTTTGTCAAGGATTCATGGAGGCTGCAATCATTTTCCAGCTCTGTGCGCAATCGAGAAATTAATCCAGCCACTTCCGTCTCATCTCCAAAGCATAGATGATTCAGCAGCTGTGTGCGTAATTTGATTAAGAACACCAACTGACGCTCAAATACCAGATGTAATCGATCGGAAGAAATAGCCATTTTCTGAATCAGCACGGTAATGAAAAATACTGCATGACGAATTAACAACTAATGTCGTTCCAAGACACCGATGACAAATCTGGATGATGGTTGCTCGAAATAATTACACTGAATTTCGTCTAATTATAGGCTGATATTGATTTTTTATTTTGTAGATTGAGAGTTTAGAACTTTTTTTACCCCGTCGCTAATTGTTATAACGGTTAGTTTTCCACGTTTACACCTATGGGACGTTAATTTACCTTAAACAATTATCTACACTAGATTCCCTCCCAGTGTCTATTCTACAGGACTTCAACACAACTCAGATCAAGAATACGTGGTTAACCTGACTAGAACGTAGATATGTTTCTACACTAAAAACCCGACACAATCCAACAACAATGAACAATCAATAATAGGTGGGTAATAATAATAATAAGGATGGGGGAATATATAGCTCATCTGACACCTATCAAACTATCTACATGTCTGACTAAGTAGACAACCAATCATTATCATTCTCGCCCACCCATCATGAGTAAAACCCAAATAGGCGAGACTATAATTTATGAATGAACCAGTAAGATATAAGGTAATAGGCCTCGGATATTGGCGCGAAATTCACTAAACCATTTGGCTAAATAGAGTTTTCGCATTATAGCTGATGTCAGTTCGTGATGAAAACCCAAAATCTAGTTCCTAACCTTAATCATCTGCTGTAAAACATAATTCTAATTTCTCAAACAGGTTGAGAACCTTCATTTGGTCTTAAATATTAGGTGGACACTCTCAAGTTCAGTCTAGCTTAGCTCAAAGGTCGTCCATAAATTATAGTCTCACCCCCAAATACTCTATACTAAGGCGGAATAAAAGGAAATGTTTAATTATTTAAAACTTCATAATAGCCCAATAGTTTACTCAACGATACCTTAGAATTTGAAACAGTCAGCATTAAATCGGATTGTACCAAACTACTAAAATAATATGGAAGACTTTATTTTGTCATACCAAACACAATCATCAATATGACTTTATATTTAAAGCTTAAAGTAGCTAATAAGGACTGTTTTATGGTACATTCCACTTTAATTCATTTAGTACCTTTTTTGTCCATTCATGATTATGAATCCACAGAACTTTGTTAAAAATATGAGTCTAAGGTTTTACACCAAATAAAATCAGTAGTGAATAAGTATTCAATGAATTAAACCTAACACTTTTAAGTGTTAAGTAACTGAACATCATCAAAGAGAATTGATGAACTAAAGCCTTGGTCTATTTAGCACTCATTAGCAAAGTATCTATCTAATCTTGAGGGGATTGATAATCCCGGTGTGAGATGCGAACATACCTCATTCATCACACCGCCTTACCAAGTTTATTATTATTGTTATTTAAACATATAAATATTAGCAGGGAGGGGCACCGGATACATATGCACCACACAAGTCACTTGACTTGTATGTGGGCTATGATACTGCCAGGGTTCCCAAACCAAAGCAAGTGCGTTTCTTAGGAGGGCCTTCGACCTCAATGCCTAATCCACAAGGCAGTGGAGCAACGTTAGAAGATGCAGTCTCATGTTAGCTAGTAACCAACAATTGGTTCATACTTCATTTTTCCTTCAGGATACTGGAGACCATGTACACCAGTGGTTTTGAATGAGGGTTTTCCAACTCCCCTAGGTGGACTGTCCATATCCACCAACCCTGCTAAAGTGCCGAACATTCGGTTTTCGTCCTCTAAATTTCGTAAACAACAGTAATACCGCGAGAAGGCAGTGAGTAGAACTTCCCTGACAGTGGCTGTATACGCGTGGCTATATGAGAGCCATTGAAGAGGGAGAGATGACTCTACCCACTCTTAGCCATACCAGGGAATTTGGAAGCGTAGACTTGTAACTGTATTACAGATCGTTTAATAGAATTCAATCAATACCAAAGATCATACAACAAAAGATTGGTTATTATGAGATGGTCATCAAGTGTTTACACAATGTAGTACTTTAAAATCCATATTTAAACTAATTTCTTTTAAACTCTTGAACATTTATAAAAAAATGATTGGAAAAACAACCCACCTTGAGTGGTTAATGAATCCAAAGAACCATTTTATTTATAATTAACTTTGTAAAGAAAACAATAATGCTCACAAGCATTATTCTGATAAACTATATAGAACTAAAGAAGTTTACCATATTTTTTAGTGATAAATTCTGTGGTTAGGCTGAATGGAATTGATTGATGAGTATTAAAGTCACATTCATTATAGTTTCATCCCACTTACATGAATTTAGTTTTACAAGAGAAAAGTAAAGTATATGATAAAATGAAGCAATTACAGGGTCAGTATAGGGATTTGTGGAGATTGTAGTATTTTCGCAGTTGAAATCACGAGCCAATCTAAGTTAGACAACCATTGAAAATCTGGAAGCACTAGACAGCCGTTTTATTCTAATATGAGACTGTTGAGAAATGCACATCCACCATCTCGCATGTGAGACTCGAAATCATCACTTTTGGTCTAACGCGCTAACGTTTAACCTCTAAACCACTGGACTGGCATCAAACGGTGTGAGTGTTTGACTTCAGTCGATCCATGGATAACTGTCTCACACCCGATATGGATCGGCCACTCAATGTTTCCAGTTTTTTAGTGGTATTCTAGTTTAGATCGACTCGTGAATTCAATTATAATGTCTTAAACGAGAAATGAACAAAGTTGAAAAAAAACCCAGCACATAGATAATGATAATAATTATGACAATAGAAAAGAGACAGAAAGATTGAAGGGAATGATATGAGATAACTAACTTCTCATCTAATATAATGATAATATACGTGGCTTTACTTTTATCGCATATATATACATACGAAAAGACTCAACTGTCTGTTGTTCCGTCCACTTACTTTCATGTTTTGTTTTCTAGATAATTTATTGATAAGAAAGTCAACAATATGCCTGTTCACACTTTTTATTTATAACCTAGTAGTAGAGATAAAGAGAGATAGGGCTAATAAATAAACATATATACATAAATATCATGATTTGCGTGATGAAATCTTTTCTATATAGGTAAGATATTGATAAGCAAAAAAACATACTTTCATGCGTTTCCTCAATAATCAATTGATATAAGTAATTTTAACCGTTGAATTCACGAGTTAATCTAACCTAAACTACCATTCAAAACCTTAAAGTATTGAACGATCGTTTCGTCCTAGTACGAGACTCCTCAGTAATTCGCATCTACCATCCCACATGAGAGACTAGAATTCAAGACCTTCGGTCTCATACGTCAACACTTACCCAATAGATCACTGAGCCAGTATCCAATGATGTTAATGTTTAACATCAATCGATCCATCATCTTGCAAAACTCTTCATCCATAACTATTACACTCTAATCTAAATCTCTTTCATATCTAAGTTCTAGATGAAAAAGAGAATGGATATAGTTGGTTGGTTAATATTTCCTCTAGAAAAAACACAATAATAAAGTTATTTATTAACTTCAAGAAAATTCATAATGTAACTATCATTGATAGACAACTTACGAACAAGTTTAAAGTGAGCTTAAGTAATATCAACTACTTATTATCTTTCAAAATAGGGTTATAAATGAGTGTAGGAAATAAAACTTAAGAATTATGGTTACGAAGTGCAATTATGTTTGTTTACTTTTTTTACCATGAATAAATTATAAACAACGATAATGTAATTACTTAAACATTGTAGAAACAAAATTACACCTTAGTAACTTAACTCTATCAACCCGAAATAAAGAATTAAAATTCATGCCTATAAATTGTAACAGTAAAATAGATTATAAAGAAGAAACCAAAAAAAAGAAGAAAAAAAAACCAACGATTCATTCATGAAAAAATAATAAAATAGTGGCAAACAGGAAGTGAATACGGTTAAATATCGATCGGATATAGTTTTTTTTTCTCTTTTTGAAATATAATAAATTGTTGTCAAGTTAATTGTATAAAACAAAAATACTAACAACTATAGTAACAGAATTAATATTGACCACTTGAAAGTTTATATTCTGTAAGAAGTGTAGAAAATTTGTAAATATTTATTTCTAATGAAAAGTACTGACCAGTGGAGTTCAACCTAGTCTATTTGCGAGATAGTAACTAACTGATGATAATGGTGGATGTGTTGCTTGATTTCGTGAATTAGTTGAAGTTAGATATTAACACTGTTGAATGCCGGTCGGCTCAATGGTCTAGTGTTTAAGCGTTCTCATGCTAGACTAATAGGTCCTGAGTTCGAATCTCGCGAGGCTGGATTGTAGATGCACACTGCTGAAGAGTCCCACAATGGGAAAAAACAACCATACAGTGCTTTCAGGTTTTCCATGATGGTCTAGCTTCAATTGGCTCATGATCTCAACTATTGAAATTACTATAATATCCACAAAAATCCCTTAAAATATTTATTTGTTCAGTTAGAAAATGATTAAAGTTTATTGAGTAACTGTTTCATCTTTAGTTCGATATTTGTCAGTAGTACATATCTAATAGAATATAACTAATCTGAACTAAAAATCGAATAGTAAAATGTATAATTTTATGAATTAAAGCAATCAATAGTCGCATTGATAAACTTATTCGGTAATTATATGAACGAAGAATATTCTTTCCAATGAATTCCTCATCAGGTTCTACAATCACAAATCCGAATGAATAATCCATAAAATTGGCCAGAATTAAGGCACAGTACATCTAGTATCTAGTGATATGCAAATCTGATTTCAATCAATCCACGAAGCTAGACAACTATCTTCTATTGCCTTATGTTGGCAACTTCACCATATCCAGTACGATTTAAGATGTCGAAAAAACTCAAACAGTCTCTACAACCCTTTACTGATGATTATCATTTGAAAATAGCTACAACAATTTCCCGGAGTTCTAGTGAGAAGCCATGATCAGTGGAGTTCAAGTGTTGTGTATAAAGAAGTTAACTACCAAAAACAAAGGAAGATGACTAAGCAATATCGTGGGTTAATTGAAAAGAGACTTGCACAACACTGGATACTGACTCAGTGGTTTAGAGGTTAGGGATGTAGGTACGAAACGGTTGTCCAGTGCTGCCAGGTTTTTGTTGGTTTTTTTAGACCTGTTCGTTATATCATTAAACTTCAATGATCAGCACAACCCTATACTAATCATGAATGTTTACGGAGATTGGGGTTGCTAATAATAATAATAATACATGAACGAAATATTCCTCGTGTACACTTAGAATTAGAAACAAAGTTTCAACAAATACTGACTTCTTATTAATATGCTTTAAAATTGGACGATTCATAATTGCATTATGTAGCTTAATACTGATCAGAGTAAATTTATGCTTATTTTATATGTAATAACCACACTTAACACTATGAAAATCAATTTGATTCACTGAATATTATTCAAAGATTGACTATTAATGCTTCTAACCAGAGAAGGGATTTTGTGGATGTTATAGTTATTTAATAATTGAATTCATGAGTCAGTTGATGCTAAATTACCATGGGAAACCTGGAAGCACTGGACGGCCGTTTCGTTCTAGTATGAGACTCCTCAGTAGTGCGTATCCACGATCCCGCCTCGCAAAATTCGACGTTTATACAACACAATGCATTGATGGCTGGTACTTTGTCATTTGAAATAACAGGTAAATAACATTTATACAATGATTTTCAAATGATCTTAATATGCAAATCATCTTGTGAGTATTGATACAACTACGAACGTATAAAATATAAGTATCGGAAACATTCTCTTATTCCAAGTTTTAATATCATGCTGTTATAAATTTGTAAAGTTGAAGAATTACATAAGAAATTTGATAGGATCTATATTTCTATAGTGTTAAGTACAGTTATAGATAACTACATCAAGCTCTAATGATGTTTGCAATCAATCGCCATCTTAAATTCATTTACTTCAGATGATACAGTCTTCACGAAACCATTAAAGTGTGTATTAATCATTGATCTGTTAAAAACTAGATTCAAGATGAATTCTCATATTCTATTGATAAGTCATAATGTATCAAATCATCGTATCGATGATAGTAAATAAAAGTAGTTGTAAATCACAATAGATCATAAAATATCCACTGAATAGTTCAAAAGTCATTATACCAACTAATGTATTGATAGATTCTGACTTTCATACCATGATAAAGTTTTTAACTAGAATAATTAATTGATGTTACTGTGGTGTATGCTCACAATTGACTGATCACTGGGTGGTGATCAATGTCATGCTTGTCTAGTCCTTATTTAGTGCAGATCGAATGCTATCGACCATGTTGCAATGTGGCCACAAGTCTAGCATTCGATCTGCACTAATAAGGACTAGACACGCATGACATTTATCACCAACCAGTGATTAATCAATTGTGATTACATCTCAGTCCTACAGGAGGACGGTCGCGGCCCGGATAGCTCAGTGGTAACGTCTCTGACTGTGAAGCTGGGTGACACGAGATCGAATCCGCCAGGGAGCACCAGTTCCCTCAAGATTACCGGTAAACCTTGCTGACGAGTGCCAAATAGCACGAAACCCGGGTCCAGGGTTTCCTGTCGACTACCTCCAACCACCATCTAATTTGTAATGTATGCTACTTATGTCTGTCAATATAAGTAGTATGTATTACCAATCGTTAGTGGAAAGCCTAGTAGCAGAAGACTAAAACGGTCAATTTGAAAAAGAAAAAACAGAAATAAGAAGTAATTATGACTTGGAAGAATCATACAGAATTTGATGGATAAATAGGTTGTCTTACCCCCCACTTGCGTTCTCATTCACAACATTAATGCCTGTTTAAATCAGCACACTAGTTGATGTTAATTACTTCTAATTTACATTGAATTTAAATGTCAAACAGATATTTACTTATTTTATAAACTTTTGTTATATTACATAAATGTAATCATTCTTTGTAATAAATTATGCAAATATTACATATTATAATGATATGCATTTAATTGACAACTAAATGAATTATTGTTTTATACAGTGACAATTATATTAAATGTTTACATAAACAATATGAACTATACTAAAGAAATGACAATCATCTATGTTCATTTTTAATATTGAATTTAAACTAAATAACTGATTATTATTATTAGTAGTGTTTCTTTTAATACTTTAGTGGATAGCTAAAGTAAACGAAATCGACTTATGAATATGATCCAGAAGCTACATTATGTTTTTTGATGGTTTTATTCCCTGAGCTAAATGGTTTGGTCGTGGAGCTTTCATTGTTCTTCTGAACGATATCATCAGCATAAACTTCAGGTAGAATTGAAGTGTTTGGATTTCTTGACATATGGTTCACAGATTGTCTTGTAGACCTCGATATTGATTATTTAGAATTGACCTTTAGCCTGTCATTTTTTATTTCTTTATTTTGATTGTATCTCCCATTGATTTGATTGTTGGTCCTATATTTGTGCATGATTTTTCTGATTGGTTGATAGATTCGATTGATTTCAATGTTTTTCTGTTGATTTCCGATTGACTTGAGTTTCAAGGTTCTGAGAATTCTCTGGTGTTTTTAGAATCCCCCTTTAACCAAAATTTCAAAATTTTCCCAGACGAATGTATGTCCACAGTTATCCACATGAAAAGGAGTAAACAACGACAGGTTAAAGGTCAAAAATAACCAATCAACATCGTGGTCTACAGGATAAGCCGAGAGTCAAGTGTGGAGAAATCCGGACACTTCACTTTAGTCTAAAGTTTGTGTTGATGATGTTGTTCAGAAGAACGATGAAAGCTCTACTAAAATCGTCGACCATAGTTATAAATTTTCGCTACATTATCTTGATGAAATGAAACTGATCTTAAATGGTTGACTGAAATTAAACAAACTTAAGCTTTTGAACTAACTATACTTCAGAAAATAATTTTCATTGAGACTTCTTAATATAGATTCAATACCTAAAAGAAATTTAATGAGTTTTTGGTATAAAGTTGTTTATTATATGGTATACAAATTCACAGTTGAATTCATAAGTCGTTCTAAGCTAGACCATCGTTCAAAACCTGAAGGCACTGGACAGTCGTCTCATCCTAGTATGGGACTCCTGAGCACTGTACATCCACGATCGTGTACGCAACACCCGAAACAAGGACCTTCGGTCTCAGGTGCGAACACTTAACCTCTAAACCATTGAGCAAGTATCCAACGGTGTTAATGCCTAAATTCCACCAATCCATGATATTGCGCGACCGTCCTCTATTGTCTTCAGTGAGTAAACGCCTGAGTCCCGCGTGCAGGATCGTGGATGCGCATCACTGAACAGTCCCACACTATGACGAACCGGCCGTCCAGTACTTCCATGTTTTCAATGGTAGTCTAATATTAATCTATTCGTTGTTGCTAAGATTCATTTATTGTATTGGGAACTATAGTATTGAATAGATCTATTATCATTTTACACAAGTAGTGTATGAGCACGACAACCGAAATGTTCAGCTGTTCGTTCTTATCATAGTATCAATGAAGAGTTTTTAAAGAATTTTTTTTAAAAAAAAGCGATAAAACATTAATAGTTAATAACTACAACAGCTGACAGTATGAAATAAAGGATTACTGACAAATTTATAACATCCAAACTTTAAATTTGACAGAGTGCATATCATTGATAAGAAATCGAATTAAAACCCTTTGATCGACACTTTTCCAATAAATAATGTTTCTAGTTAAATGCATAATATAGAAGAATGGATGTTAAGCCGCAACTGACGAATGCGTAAATACAGACAAATATGAAAAAGAAGAATAACTTTTAAAATATCAGTATGGATTTGTGGAGATCATTAAAGGTCATTGATAACACGACACCGATTAGATACCTGATAGCACAGGACAACCATTTCGTCCTAAAATGAGATGATTATAAAGGGGACCAAATTCATATCCTTCGATTTCGACCACGAACGCCTAAACCTTTAGACTACTAAGCTGGTAATCCAAAGATTTACAAGTGAAACTTCAAAAAAATTCACAATATCGTTTGATCATCAACTGTCTTTAGTAGAGTACCTTCAAGCACATTTGAACTTGAACATTTATGACATCTCATTAGAAATTCGTAAACGTTCTCTCAAAGCTCATCAATTATGAATACATTATAAGCATCAGTATGACTATTTAGCAAATTATTAAATGTTATTAGGATAATCAACTGATTTAAACTTTCTATTTCTATATTTACTACAAAGCAAAGAAACATATACGTCATTAAAGAGTAAACTGTCGAATTTTTTTTGTTTCTTTTATATTCACTAGTTTATTTTATAATCTCCTCAAAAATAAAAAGAAAATTGTTTTTTAATCCATTAAAAACATAATTACGTTTTCCAGTTTCATTTCAGATCTAAACAGTTAGAAAAATGAAAAGCATGTTTTATTCCAAAACAAAACAGAGAGAATACTTTAGGAGAATTCGTTAAGTTTGCCCATATGCAATAATATAGATATATATACAGTATTCAGTTTCTAGAAAATATAAAAAATCTTTTCAATACATTTTTGTGTATATCAATGGTATAATCGATAATAGGAAGGGAAAAAATTGTAGTAAATGTAGGATTAGTAATAATAATATTATAGTAAATACCGTTGCTATCGTCAACAAATCAATAAGTGAAAAGTTTCCTTATATATACATATAATACAGAAGTAGGTAATATTATACATACGCCCAAATAAATTTATTTTTATGAAATCAATAAAATTTTACTTGTATAATACAATAAGGTAAATATTTTTTTCACAAAACTGATTTAATTAATATGATGAAACGACTGTCCAGTGTTTCCAGGTTTTCTATGGTAGTCTAGCTTCATGATCTCAACTATTGGAATTGCCGAAATCTCCACAAAATCCCTTTTGATACTAATCAACATATGCTCACTAGTGACTGACTTCAAGAGGTATATCATGGAGTTGTAGTGAGAAGCAGTGACCGGTGGAGTTCAACCGGGTCTGTTGTGAAATAGTAACTCACTGATGACAGTAGTGGATGTGTCGCTCAGTTTCGTGGATTAGTTGTATTTAGACATTACCACGATTGGATGCCAGCCGGCTCAGCTGTCTAGTGATTAAGTGCTCTTGCGCGAGACCAGTAGGTCCTGGGTTCGAATCCCGCGAGGCAGTGTCGGGGATGCGCACTGCTGATGAGCCTGCAATAAGACAAAACAGCCGTCCAGTGCTTCCAGGTTTTCCATGGTGGCCTAGTTTCAAGGAACTCATGATCTCAACTATTGAGAATATTGATTTAATTAGTATGACTCTTATTTAGAAAGCAAAACAAAAACCAAAGAAAAAATTGACTAATTTATGTATTGGAGTTAGGAATCAAGAATTTTTTTATTATAAAATGGTATCGAATGTAGCATTTGATTAGTCGAATTGAAATAGACAATTAAGTATTCGAATCATAAAATGAATGATTAAAAATGAAGTAGATTTATACTAATATACAGTTGTACATAAATATCAGATTCTACCTTGTGAGTGAATTCACTAAAAAAAACATATTTACATCCATAAATCTCTTAAGTTTTTTTAATTTCTAACTGACTAGTCTTTAGTGCTTTGTATCAGGCGATAAACACGTACATTTATATAGTTGACCTGAAAATGGACAAGAATAAGGCGTTTGGAAAAGAACGGTTATATATATATATATATATATATATGGCCCAAAATGCCCTGGTACGACCGAGGGTGAGGAGAGTCAGCAAATGCTCTGCAAATGCTCTTATATGGACATGTACATACAACCATTGTCAGGGAAGTCCTACTCACTGCCTTAATAATCTCCACAACCTCTACACTGAAAGAAAAATTACTTTGAGATTTCTTTCGAAAATCATATTCAGAGTAACAACAAATACACAGCTTAACACTATTACCGGTAATAAAAACGTCAATATGAAAGTTAAAGGTTATAGTTTATTGAACGATATGAAAAGTTGCATACTAATCATAGAAATCTCGATTAATATATGTACTTTTTCTGATCGTACAATAAACCTAATAAGTTAAATGAATGAGATTATGATAAGAGTGGTACAATATCATGAAGTATTTCAACACTTAAAAGTACGCACACACATGTAATGATGAAACAATATCTTTTATCAAATAACTGATCATTCAGAACAATGCTTACGCACATATTTAAATAATATGAATCGCAAAAAAATAGTTCAACTATCAGGAAGAACTGTTACAGAATAATTATAGAACACACATTCTACAAAATTAATTTTGCCTTATGAAATCATCATTCATCAATAACGAAAGTAGTTTCACTACATAAATATAGTACGTATGAACATTTAGAGCTGTTTGTATCTATTTGACTATAAGAATAGAAAATCTAAATCATAACACCGCTTCGTCTGTTAGCCGTAAACTTTATTACTAACTAGTTACTTAAATCAAAAAATGTAGAGCGGACTTTAAACATGTACCAGTTGAAAAACATCTAAATATTCTTACCCGACAACTTTTAACAGTTACTTTACATGTAGACAGAAGCAGAAGTCAGCGTATATATGTATCTATAAATATATATATCCGTCCATATGGAGTATAACAGTGATATATTAGTGTTATAAATGAACATATACATTTGTTTGTGTAGTCAGATGTATAACTATGTTGCATTTGGGCATGTTGGAATGTTATATCAATATATATATATATATATATATATATATATATATGCGGGATCACAAAGGAAAGCAGCTCTGACGAAATTATCAGAGCCAATGGAAATAACTTACATAACAGTATGCATAGAAATATAAGTGATAGGCATATTAGACAAATTAATTCACTACCGGGTTATAAATAACACAATATCACATAAAATATTGACAAGTTATTTGTCTTTTACACCTGAGAGATATTACACTTTGAACAAATTGGACAGAAAGATAAGATGAGAAAACAAAAACGATCATAATCGAGACATAACAAGGAAAGTAGCGCCACCGACAGTAGAATCAACATAAACAAACGAAGAAAATGCGGTTTACAATTGGGAAAATCAAGTAGCTTCATTAAAGAAGCATAAACAAAACACACACGAACAGACATGAGAAATGAATAACCATGAAAAACTGTGTAAACTGTGCAAATAATTGTCTTGCGAATCAAAAAAAGAACGAGAGAATTAGTAGATAAAACTCCAGAATAAAATTACTAAATGCTGGAATGTCAGGTGTAATTACACTGCCACAAATAAAAACAACAACAACACAAACAGATACACGCATACATATAAACAGTATATCTATCTTTATGTTGTTATCAGTTTGTGACATTGAAACAATGGTTCAAAACGAATAAACCAAATCCATTTTCCACGTATGTATACCATGAATAATTATTGTAAATATCGGTAGAGAAAAAAAAGGATCTTAATGAATCAGTTCTAAAAAAGGAGAAAGAGAGAATGAGTGATATTTATCACATCAGTTATGAGAAACAAAACAAAAAATGAAGATGTAGCTTTTTATCTAATGAAAGACATTGGTTCATTGATTTGCATTTTTGTGTAGAACAAGAGAGAAATAAGGACATTCAGAGAACAATCTCTTTTATTTCACGATAAAAAACAAACAACAAACAATCCAGAGAAGAATAATTAAAAGAATGAAAAGAGAACAATGGTTAATACAATAAAAAAGAGGGGAAAAAAGTTTTAAAGAAAATATAAACAAAGAGAACATTTTCTATGAATCAAAGAATTCGAAAAAAAACGAAGGAAACAAATGGAACAATAATAAATACACATTTTATGTAATTACTCTAGAAGAAAGACAATTTAAGCGACATTCAATATTATGTATATTTAGATTAATATTATTAACTGTACTATTGTATATTTATTGTACTCTTATCATATCAACTCATCAAGAGGTAGAATTCCTTTCATACACAAATACACACATACAAATATATACAATTACATATAATAATTTATAAGCACATATTCAGTACAGTGTATATTGCACAAATATACACATTATATAAGTAGATAAATAAATAGTATTATTCACATTAACAATAATAACATGGTTTTATAGACAAAGTTAAATGATAATTAGGGTTACATTTTAATTAAATAAAATTAAAAAAAAATTAAAAAAAAAAGAAAGAGAAATGAAACGAAACAATATGATATGCACATGGTAAAAAAATGATATTAGTTACTGAGTTCTCATTTTTTTTTCTTCTTTTCTTAAATATTATACAAATGGTCAAGAAATTTAAATCAAATGAACAGAGAAATAAATGTGTGAAATTTGATTTAAGTAGTAATAGTAGTAGTATAGTGCTAGTTCTCGTTTTTAAAAGAAGAGACAGAAAAGAAAGATATTGAACAGAATATAGAAATATTAATGAAAAGATATATTGTAAAGGATATTTTATGAACAGAGATAGAAGACTAAATAAGTAGTATATATATATATATATGTAAACATTTTGTTTGTTTGTTTGTTTTTGATGTACATGTACAGCAAGTAGTGCACAGCCTAAATTGTATAGAATAAACGTTTCTACAGAAAGAAAGAAACAAAAAACAAACATATATGAGTAGTTTTATTTGCCTAGAAAAATATATAAACAAGGGTTTGAAAAAAACAGTAAGCAACCGTAAATGGGTAAAAGATAACATCAGAATTTTCTAATTGTACATTGTATACAATGGGCTAGTCACACACACACACACACCCACACACATATACATAATACAGCGAAGATGGTGATGATGATGATTAGCACAGAGTAAGTAGTAAAATATGCACATAAATACATAAAAGAAATAAATGAATATAAAGACAGAAACAAGAAAGTTGAACACAGTGCTATATAATCCTTGTGAAAAGTGTAAATAGTACTGTAATATACATAGTAGTAGTAGTAGTAGTAGTACTGGTGGTAATCACAGTATAGCGAACAAAACGGAAGATTCTTCAATGTTCAATATCATCATTCACTATATACGAAGAATGATATGATTATTTCAATAATGAATTAATCAGTGATATAAACAGTTTGCTTTTTTCTTTCGTTTATGTTTCTTTTTTTTCAAAAAGAACTTTTCAAATCAAAATAATAATCATAAAAAAGAAATAAGTGTACACATATATATAATACACCACAAAGTTAATCATAATCATAGAAATAATTGATGGTTTGTTTGTTTATTTCTTTTCTTTTCCATCATAACTACATTACATATCGATTGCATGTTGTGTTGGTCGAATAAAATATAATGAATTCGGTTTAGATGAACGTTCAAATACATGGTCAATTGATGATTTTGATATATTTGATTGATATGAAAATCTATTTATTATTTCAATAGATGGATTAGTATCAGCTAAAGATTTAGATACAATCGGATTAGTACAATATTCAATCTAAAAAGAAAAAGTAAACAGAGAAAATAAAAGAGGATAAAATAAAGAAAACAGACAAACTTCAATGAACAAATTAAAGAAATAGTGAATAATGGAATAATTATATAAATTCAATATAGTAAAGTATAGGGGTTGTGCAGATTATGAACCGATTTATGTTAGACCATGACAATTGAAAACCTCGGGGCACTGGACGGCCGTTTCGTCCTACTATGGGACTCCTCGAAAGTGCGCATCCACGATTCCACTCGCGGGATTCGAACCCTAGGCCTTGAGTCTCGCGCGCGAACGCTTAACCTTAACGATGTTAATGTCTAACCCCAACCAATCGGGTGAAAATCAGAAAACACAGAATGTCTTTTCAGATTCAATGCAGGACTCCTTAGTAATTTTTATATATAATCTAAATGTAGATCAAAACCAGGATTATTAAGTCTTGTGACGAGCGCTTAGTATTGAAGCATCTGAGTTGTCATCCAATGGTGCACGTTTCTAACTTCAATTAATCACTATTATTGATAATATTTATGTCATACCTGAGATGGTTGGACTTCACTGGTTGTGCCTTTATACTAAAACCCCTGGAATTACCTTTTCGAAGTTATATGCTAGTAAGCATATGTTGATTCTGGATTGCAGAATGTTGTATAGACTTTTATTGAGTCTCTTACCAAGATTAAAACATTTTTAGTGATTACTGGTTTCCATTGCTTGTCTAAGATAAATTCGTGATGTAAACTATCAAGAACGTACTTTCGATAATGCCACATAGAGAAGCTGTAGATGAAATAACTCATTTACCACGTAAAAAAGATTTTGTATTCAACCTTAAGTCACATGGGGTGTGTTTGGGTTAGGTGGTATTAAGCAGTTAACTAGACTGAAGTTGACGGGACGAGGTTTGAACCACTGGCTTGATAGTTGAAATGTGACTGCTGTAACCAATAAAACAACACTTCACAGTACTTATATTCACTGAACACAAACAGCATAATCTATAATATTGCGTGATTACCAGAATGAACCTTATGAATTGTGAAAAATTAGGAATTAGAAAAATGATAGTACGAAAGATCTAATGCGATCGTTCTTGGGTTGATAGGTTGTTGCTACCTTTTTCATGCACAAATTTCCGATTCTCGAACACGTTACATAACGTTGGAAGACGATTCAAATGGGACTATGTAACCAGAGCTAATGAAGTATCAAGGTACGAACTATTAATTTACTTATACTCCATTTTTATTAGCAAGATCAGGTGATGCGTTTGGTAACAGTACAATACAAGACTGTACAACTTTAGTAAGAAAAAATATTATTGCGCTAAACAGGGAACATTGTATCATCATCATAGTAGTTTCAATTTTTTTAATATTGGAAGAATCTTCAAAAGGGAAAAACGACAATACAGATGATGAACCGATCGACGTTAGACCACAAATGAAAACCCGGGAGCATTGGATGGTCATTTCGTCCACAACCCTACACTAATAAAAATAATAATAAAGATGAAAATACACAAACACTGTAACTGATACTAACTAAATACAAATTTACTATTTAACTACTATAACAGATAAACAATAAAGACAACATGATTGAATTACGTGCAAATTGTAACCTAGCAAACTGTAATAATGATTTATACGGTTGGCTTATAGAGTGTAATTATAAATAAGAAATTTTGCAAAAAAAGGAAACCACTAGAGCGCATTTGTGTTAGAGTTAATTCATCATATACACACGTTAAGTAATAAGTAACATGTTGAAAGAACTGGAAGTATATAACATGCAAATAAATACCGACTAATTGGCCTGGTATATATATATGGAAATTAAAATTACACAATTTATAATTGATTTAGGTATACTGCTTTTTGGATAGGTTATACATTACGCAAATCGTCAAACTGCATCACGAGGCAAGCCCTAACTTCGAGTCCTGAAGGGAAGTGGAAAAGAGGAAGGCCAAATAACATATTACGTAGGGAAATAGAAGTAGATATGGAAAGAATGAATAACAACTGGAAAGAGCTGGAAAGTATTGCCCAGGACAGGGTTGGATGGAGAATGCTGGTGAGCGGCCTATGCTCCTCCTTGAGGGGTAACAGGCGTAAGTGAGTAAGTAATACTCCTTTTTAAACTGCCATAGGACGGATGCCTAGTAGTTAAAGTATTCGGCCTTTAACAAGATAGGTCGGAGATTTGAACTCTACTCCATCGAATACATTTTAAGGAAGCCTGATAATATTATTATTTTAATAGTTGAACTAATGAGTCAATCTAAGCTAAATCACCATTCAATACGTGAAAGTATTGGACAGTCGTTTTGTCCTAGCATGGAACCACTCAGTAGTGTGCATCCATCATCCCGCATGCGGGACGCGAGCTCAGAATCATCAGTTTGGCGTGTGGACGCCTAACCTACAGACCATTGAGCCTAACTTCAATCGACTCATAATTTAGCGCAACCCCTCTTCCATTGTCTGAGACCGAAAGTCTAGCTTAGATCGTCTCATGAATTCAACTATTAAAATTACTCCAATCTCCACAAACCCACATTCTGATAATATTATTATTCTCATTTGGTTTTAGTGAAGTTAAGTTCTCTATTCTAGATAGTTTGAGCGTAGAATCTTCATTACCTTTCGAGACAATATGATCGTTCAAAATTTCAGATAAAAGTGATGTGTCGAGAGTTTTGTTCGTATGACTAACCATTTGTTTTGTTGTTGTTGTCTCATGTCCTGCCAAAGTCAACAAAATAAACACCTCATTATTTCAACATGAAGTTTGTGTTGATGATGTTGATCATAAAGATAATCGAAGTTTTATGATTAAAATCTTTCAGTAAATACACCAAAATGTCACTACACCTAATGAGTGGTTTTAAGCTGATCACATAGACGTGGACATGATAAAATCAGCTATATTTTTAAACAAATTACTTAAAATCTCCAAACACCAAATTAGCAAGTGTTATTCAATGACTTGATACATCAGCTTACGAAATTTTGTACATCATAAAGCACAGCAGCTTAAAAGTCAGAAGATTACGTAGATCTATAAATTTTACCGACTGACTTGTCATCTTTACCTAAATGTGATAGTCCTGTCACACACACACACACACTCCCAATGTCTCAAATCTCAGACAGTCAAATAGCAGTATACAATGTCCTTAGGAAATAAGTTGTGCAAACAAATCATAAGTGTTTATTTAATATAAACATAACTTAAAATAGATTATCCTATTAGCTAACATTCTACACATTTCCAATTGTAACAATCACTAAATAGTAATGTGAAGTTATGATTCTAAAAAATAGAACAATATAGGAACAACTTCATGAGCTGCATCATCCAAGAAAGTACAGTTTCTATGTGTTTAGTAATAAATAATCTTATCTATACAAACCTAAAATATAATGAGCTTCTATATTCACTGAATAGTCGGTCAGTTAGTTATACATAATACAAAATGCAACATATTTACTCATCAGGCCAAGTTCATACACTAAATCACTACAGAAAAAGGAGATAGTAAATCGACTAGTTTTTATTAGTACAACAATAATTCGATTATTTTAATAGCCTATATAGAAAATTTATTGATAATGTAATACAGATTGATAATTATTTCAGTTATGTTATTGTATTGCTATTGTTATTACAATTACTGGGGTCCAACTCTACCTGTTTTCATCACTGTAACAAAAACTGTGCACAGACCCTGTTTTAAATTTATTTTACCTGAATAACTGTAAATGCTAATTGTGTGCAACCATGTGCTTTTCTAAAAAGCTTACAAATTATTGTGATATAAAATACTGAGAATCATTAACGGTAACACTACAATTCTAGAGTATTTCCTATCCACTCTATCTCTTAAAGAAACGAGAAAGCGATAATATTGAACTTAACACGTTTAATATACCGATGAATGAAGATAATTGTAGTGTATAATGTAGTTGAAATACTTCTCAATTAAAGATAAATTATAGAAATTAACAACTGGAGAAAAAATCCTGTCTTTAGAGTATCAAATGGTACATTTTGAATTCCTATAGTTTAAAAATAACTCAGTAAAAGTTAGATTTTTATACACTACTGTTTTAATCCAGTCAGTCAGTCTTGAATGCTGTTAGAGGTATGAGAGCGGTTATCACTTCCCGGTTGCCCACACCGTGGAAGGGTTTTTCTAGAGGTACCTGAAAAGGAAATTGGATTAGAGGTGGTCTTAGTGACCTGAGAGCGTGACCGCAGTGCCCAAGGGACAATTGCTTGAGGTCGGTTACACACGACCTTTTTATGAGTAATTTTCGTGTTAGCTCTGTACTTGTTGAGACCTAACCGCCGGAGACGAATATCTGTAGGATAAGGTGAGGTGTGCATCTTTAGGGTCGACCTTTCCTAACCCCACCCCTCCTTGTGGAAAGACAGCATCGCTGTTATACTGGTTATCTGAAGGAAACACCTTGCTGTCGTCACACCTCTGTACAGTCAACAGTATGACTTCGCTTTCGAACCTTGGGTTTGCTGCTTTTAGTCTTACTACTCTTCAACCGACATATCTGACATGGTAGAACATTGAAGAATGATTGTTTCAGCCAGTATAACTCGATTGGTTCATCACAATAGGCAAGCCCGACAACCACATCAAGGTAGCAACAACGGCCCATTAGATTTAAGTGAATTAATGTTAACATCTTAAATTATAAATCTTGTATACCTTATTTTATAACAAAAAACCCATAATGTTATGAAATGTCAATCTATAAATAAATGATCTATCTTATAGAAATTATTCCTTTATTTTTAAATGAATTTAACAGTTGTTAGTACACTACAGTGTGTATAAAGCTAATCTATTTCAACTACTGCTAAGATAGAAAAAGAAATCTGTTTAGTTAACTAGAAAAGTAAAACAAACAATAAAAGAGATACTTGAATTTGAAAATCCTGAAACTATTTCATTTAAACATTTAATATAAGGTATTTTAGAAGATGTAGATTTAATTAATTAATTAGTTTGTTTGTTTGTTTATCTTTGAATTGTAAACAATCAAATCAATGCATATATATATATATATATATATATATATATATATATATATATATATATATATATATATATATATGACATAATTAAATAGATAACAATTCGTTATCATTTATTATTCTCAGGCAGTAGTACATAGTAGTCTTCAGAATGTGAAGTATTCATTCACCTATAACATATCTATTTATTATAATCTATACAATAAAATGTTAAAGTATATTGTAAGTAGTTCAAAGATATCAGTATAATCAAGAAACTTGTGTATAATTCTGTATTGTATAAAAGAATATTACTATTCACAAATGTTTACTATGTTACTATGACCACTATTATTGATAAGAATAAATGTATAACAGGAATGTGACAGGTAAAGATTCATTAACTTTATTATTATCAAAGTAAAAATGTGTAGTTATATACATCATACATCAAGCAAATCTATCAATGAACAAACTGTATTGGATTGATGAATAATATTCAAATAGGGGTTTGTGCAGATTGTAGTAATTTTTTAATAGTTGAATTCATGAGTCGATTTAAGCTAGATCACTATTGAAAACCTAAGAGCAATGAACTGCCGTTTCGTCCTGATATAGGACACTTGAGCAGTGCGCATCCACGATTCAGCAGACGGAACTCGAACCCAGGACCTTCGGTCTTGTGCGCAAGATCTGAATAATTTATTCAGTAATGATTTTAAAACTTATAAAATCACTTTTTTTATCCCATAACATTATCATTGAAATTATAACCAAATATATGTTCATTTGTTTGATAGATAAATTAAACAGGTTATTTGTGGAGTTAATTGATTTAAATATTCTAATGTGTTTTGAAAGCAGCTAGAAAAATCATTTAAAAGCTCAAAAAAACACATTGGAGAGAAAATCTCAGTTTTTTTTAAATATTAGTTTTCCGTAAATTTACAAAGTTATGTGAGATTTATAAACATGAGCCACAGATTCTGTGGCGACAGTGATAGCAAATTTAAACCAATGACTAGTAGTGAGATCCAGGACGCGCATTTCGCTCTATTTTGAGACTCGTCAGTTGGATCTACCCGCATCTCAGAGTTGATGTTCACTCCGGGATAAGAACCCAATATCGTTCGCTTCAAACGCCATTGCGTTATCCATTTAGTTACTGAGTCTTGATAACCACTAGCTTGTACAATGAGGTGAAGTTTAAATTCATTATGTATTTTTGTTTGTATCTTCCCATTTGGATTCCACTACTAGCCGCCATCCATCTTTGTTTTAATGCTTGTGACTTAAGACAGTATCGAGGCAACCAAAACAGGATGCACATATACTAATAAGAGACTGATCAATTGCGGTCCTGAACATCAACTCGAACTGCTGTATGTACATACGAAGTTCGACGTTGTTACTGTTTGTCTGTCTTATAAGTATGCTTGTTTTTTTTCAAAGAACCAATACTTTTCATTATTCATTGAATAATAAATAAACAAAATTAGAAAAACCCAATTCCGTCCAACAATCAATAATATTTATAACTTGGCACAAAAGACAACATAACACTTCAAACCTATCCTTATTTACTAATAATATAGTTCAACATTATAATAAAATGTTGAGAAGGAAAACAATTTATAAAAGAAAAAAACTATGTGAATATTTAATATTGACAAATATTGTAATAAAAAACAAATAATCTGTATCACATTGACATCAACAACAGTCAGTAAGTCAGTCAGTCAGCTACAATGTAGGACCAGGCACATATATGCATCGGTCCAAGTTGCCATACCTCATCAACAGAGAGAGATGGATACTGGATTCATAGGAGTAGTTAAGTCAATGGTGATAATATATAAAAGAAAGGTTGTATATAAGGATATAGTACTTATGGGTTCCAAATTTATAAACACTACAATAAATTTGGTAATGACATGAAATCAACTATCAGTGATACAAACGTTTCTTATTATATATTAAATACTAATACAAGTTAAAATAATTGATTCTTTGAACATATGGAAAATAAAGATATTTTGATAAAATTTTGTTTATCAGTTTAAGGGATTTGTGGAATTTGTTAATATGATGGTGAACAGATCCAAGTTAGATAACTACTGAGTATCTGGAACATACTGAATAAGTGTTCCGTCTTAGTGCATACGATCACGGCATTAGGGATCGAGCCCAATGCCTTTGGATCTGGCTTTGTTTTAACTAATTACCGATACTGTATGACTAACTTCCAATATCTCCGATGGGTAATTACGTCACAACTGACAGGACTGAACTACATTGATCACCATTCCTCATTAAAAGTTCGGGAATTACCTCCTAAAATCAAGGTTAGTCAATGTACAGAAAATCGAGGGTATTTATAGTGTATCATATGGCCTCGTGTTTCTGGAAGGTTCTAGAACTATGCTAAACGCAGAAGCAGGATAGTTAATCATCCAATGATAGATGTGACACGTGACTTGACACTTTCTAGATGTCTCTGAGAGACCCCTACTCAACGCTGATTAGATCAAATATTTCCCAATGTTATCAGGACCCCTCCGAATTATTCTTCGGAAATGTTTTGAATCCCCTCAATATTAATGAGATCTCGAACGTATAAAATTTGGCAGTAAGAAATTCATAAAGGATTATGAACACTCAAGATATTTCATTTTAGTTAAATCCCATTTGAATATACACATCATAAGAATAAAAACAAACCTTTAAAAATTTGTATAATTCTATCAGGTTTCTAAAGTGATGATGAATTACAATCCCATTAAGACTGCAATGTTACTTAAAACCCCATTTCAACAAACTTAAACTTACATGGTTCAAACAATCCACCTTACTTGCCAATTATTTAAGTAATAAAATAGTACCATTAACCTGTATACAACAACCATTGAAATATTTTCCAAAACTTCATTCGATCACGAAGTTGTAGTACTTTGTTTACTGATTTATTTAAGACACAAAGTTAATGAAATCACATAGAATTTTTATGATCCCAATATTATAAACGATAATAACATTAGCTTAAAAATAACAATGCATATTCGGATTAAAATGTTTCTCAAATGTTAACATATTCATTAATTTGGCTTGTGGCTGGTAGTGCAGTACAGGATGCGGATTTCACTCTATTTGGGACTCATCGAATGGATGTGCCAACATCCGTGTTGATATTTACACTAGTGCGAAACTTAAACAACAAGAAAACTTAAAAAGGAATGGAGGACAAACCTAAATCGAAAGTAATAAGAATTACTAAGCATTGACTAGAAATATTTTATTATTTTCCAAAGCCAACACATACATACTTAAACACTTGACTGATTGGCTGATCGCTAGTAAATAGTTCAACATTTTTGTTAATCATTCATAGTCCACTATCCAAACTTTATAATCATTGAGTATTTGAGAAAAATATCGTGTACACAATTCAATTTTTATGTATAATAAATGATTTCAATAGTTAGGTGGATAACGCGATAACACTTGAGGCGAACGGTACTGGGTTCGAGTCCAAGAGAGGACATTAACTCTGCGATGCAGATACATCTAACTAAAGAGTCCCAAATAGGACGAGAAGCGCGTCCTGAACTTGACTGCTAACCACCATTTATCTCTGCTGACATTGATATATTGGTTATACAATAAAGAAATGGAATAAAGTTGTATTCTATTTTGTTACTATTTTTCCCATTGAATTATTACAACGTAGATTCAATGTACAACGACGAAAAAGAAACAATATTAAACATCATATATATAATACAGGAAATTGTTTATATACTACTTATTAAACAAAAATATCGACGATGAGCAAACTAATGGTATTTCGTGCAACAAAACTAAAGTATGGCCAAGTGATTGAAATTATGTAAAGTTTATTACAAAAATAAAGTAACAATATATATATATATATATATATATATATATATATATATATATATATATATATATATATATATATAGAGAGAGAGAGAGAGAGAGAGAGAGAGTTAAGCTGTATGTGCATACATATATATCAGTGAGTGCATAGTTTAATTCATCATGAAACTTTTGAATTAAAAAAACCCACCACATGACAACAACAATAATATACAGCTACCTTTGTATTGTAAAAGATGGAATGACCTTCATTTTTAGAACCAACATTTTGTTATACCAACTATACAATAATTGATAAGAATATAAATAATATACAAATGGATAGATATGAATGAATCGGTATATGAAACAATCAAACATAACTTTTTCATGTAGTATATTAAGTAAAAATAATTATCTAATATGTCATTATTTTTTTATTATACACGTGGTCTAGAATAACTGTAGTGTTAAGATGGTGGTTGGAGGTAGTCAACAGGAAACCCTGAACCCAGGTCGATAGCATTCGATCTGCACTAAGAAAGACTTGACACACACATAAATGTCCTAAAAGCATAATTCCAGGTTCCCATTCTATTTACAAACACGAATAGTAAATCGATATCATTAATTGGAATATAATTCATTGTTTCATGATCACAGAAATTGTTGGAAGGATTACATTGAGTTATTTATTACATTTACAAACTGTCATGATTGGCTATTTTTAACTTGAATACTTTTAGATTTTAATTATTTGATATCACCATGTTGAAACACAGGCTTTGGTGGTTTGCACATGTGTTAGGAATGTCAACCCGGCATCTTTGACAATGAGCACTATTTTTAGGCGCTAAGATTAGATCACAAAAAGGAACCCATTTAACTGAAATGATTCTTCCTGGTTATATATCTTTTAAAATGAACTGTCTCTCTCATTATAAACTTTTCTCTTCCGCTCATTTTTACTAATTTAATTATTTTTGACGATGAGCCTCATTCCATCATATACCTCTTCATGATTTCATCTTCTTATTTGTGTGATTTATACTTTTTTTACTGACTAGTCGTGTCTTGAATAAATCAAAAAATATCTCGACCTATAATGCGGTGAATGCTACTTGTGTTGACAGACTCAAGTAGTATGTAACAGCAATTGGGAGTGGGATGCTTGCCAGCAGAACAATGAAACAAAGAGAAGAGGAAGCGAAACAGGGAACAATTGGGATAAAGACAGAATTCAGGAAATCATACAGTATGTAATGGACAATTGAAGGAAGATGTACGAATGCTGAAACTCAATATCTTGATTAAGATAGAAAATAATTGCAACCACACCAAATTACTCAATACACGTGGTATGATACGGTAACGTAGGCCAATGTATACGTATTTCAGGCTCTATATCGATTATGGCTGAATATCGCGCCAGCTGTGATTGTCTAGTTGGTCAATGGATGAAAAGCAGTTGAACTCTACATAGACAAGTGACCTGGCAAACACCATTCACTGAAATCTAATTAGGAATATATGCGAAATATTATCTACCATCAATAGGACGTAAAACTCATACGAAACATTTTGCTCAAAATGATAATACAGGTATGTAATTGAACAGCTTCTTTAGCCAAAGAAACATAATAGACTTAGTGAATTGATTGAATAATGTTTGTGACAAATATCATCAGTGTTCAAACTCATACTGAAAACTGCTTCATTTTAAGTAAAATATTCCCAACTAATCTGCTTACGCATCTCAATGCCATCGACACTAAGTGTGTACATGAAGATATATTCAGACACCTGATGCACTAATGGACTGGAAGTTCAATGTGTAGACAGATCAAACTCATTTGAAAATTTTCAGTGATTTCTCGCCAGTTTCAGAGGACCATAAAAATGCTGAAAACACTTCGACCTATCAGCATATTTTAGAAGTTTCCAAGAAAAATCTAGTAAACGATTGTCTTCCTTATTTTGACTGGACAAATACTGAAATTGTTACTAGTTTTAGCATGTCCGCAAAAGGTTCTAAAACTACAAGGTCATATAATTATATAAATACTCTCGTCTTTTTTGCAAAAAGAACCATAGAAACAAAACCCTTATACTTTCCACCTGTTTTCTTTTCACGGATTCATGAGTAAGTGAGACTAGGAACTTAACATTCTAGCGTTCATGTACAAGACTCATCAAGTTCAAACAAATGTTGAAATATATGAGTACTATTGTCATGAATTTCAAGTCATTAAATAGTTAAAGGTTTAAAATAATGGATGAGAAAAGTTTTAATGGAGAACTGAGATGTACCAAGAAATAATTATACATCTAGCAAGCAAATTCCATATACTTATTTTTTGTAAAGTGAGTACAATAAGCCGATAACGTTTATCATACATTAATTAAAATCAATCTAAGTCTTATTATTTTGGATTTCTCAAAAAATGTCTCACTTGTTAAGCCGTGCATGAACTAGTACGGTCAAGTGTACAGACGGTTTGCTCCCCCTTTCAAAGTGCTCTCATAGCTAAGTGTTTACACTTTACGCCAAGAGAGTCCTACTCGATCCCCTCAGGCGGCATGTGATTTTTTAGAAAAAATAAATGAAAAGCAAACTCTCAAAGTTGGACAACCCTGATTCCAAATCAATGGTGTATACGGGCTCCAAGATTTATAGGAAACGAATGGTGTGAAAGTATTTTCTATTGTTAGCTACTTTGAGAATGCAGCGCTTGACATGGCTTCCCTCAATTGTGGATCAGAGCTTTAAGTCAAAAGAAACTACCTGTTTCGGTTCGGATGACAGGACATTATCCCGGCAAATACAGATATTTTTTAGTGTTATGCTTTTTATTTTCAGTGCCCAGTTAATCGTACCAGATTTCATGTGAATTAAACAACTGTTTTTTGAAGCTAGGGAGAGTAGCTGGTCCTTATAGATTGTTCCCAGTTGCTTTAAAAGATCGTAGTTCAGTTTTATAAATTAGATGAACTGAGATATTAGCCTCCGTAAGGAAGCTAGAAATCAGACTGACTGTCTCAGCTTATAGAACAAGATAACAGTTCACTTGTGACAACCACAAAGGAATCACTTTGACCAATATTTCATCTAAAACATTGGGATCCATAACTATCCAACGCTTAACTGAAGAGTGTGAATAGCAAACCTGGGAAAACAAGACTGATTTCATGCCTCAGCGTGAATGTACAAATTAAATGTTCAACCTTCGTCAGGTTTGAGAATATAGGTATACTACTAACACTTAACTGTAGTTATATTCCTTAGACTTGAAGTGGAACCCAACTCTGTTAGTTGAATTTGTTAGAATGAGCGTTAGTCATGTGACGTATAAGTATTTGTCACTGTTTAGATTTTTTGGTTTTATCTGTAGACAAAATAGTCAACTGTCGTCACATTATAGGGTTACTTGATCAATCTGTGTATATTCTACAAAAAAGTCTTTAAGAATACGTCATTATGTAAAGACGATATTAGCTGAGTAGATTAAGAATAGAGTTCTCTGTTCCTACCTAACATTTAGTCACAAAAGAAAGAAGAGTATAGAATAACGCTAAACTAAAGATTTGGAAGAGATAGAATGAGCATAATTGCTCCAATATCATCAATTTTGGCCCATGTCATTTGAAGTCTACAACCACGGATTAGTTATTATAAGGTTTCTAACCAGGGAATCCGCATCTATGAGGACGATGAAACCTCAGAGATCAGTGACTTGAAAGAGTAATGTAGTTTTGCTTGACTTACTTGGCTCTAGCTATTTTCCAACCAACTCCTACCCTAGCCAGTCTCTAAGATATATGGCGGATATATATGCGTAAAATGTCTTTAGAGCAGCTCAGTTGATAAACTTATAGCTCCATTGACTAATTTCCCTTTTTAATACTCTGTCCCTAAACTAACTACTATTCATAATCAACTGTTAGAGACGTTCAATGATATTGCATAAAATCAATGCTAGTGGAGCGGTTGTATAATTGCTTAACCCCCTCTAGACGTCGAGTTACGTAACTCCTAACTTTCTATCCTGAGATCTTACTTATTCTTTGATCTGTACTTCCCGTGTACTTCCATATTTGCACGGTAGCCGAAATTGATTCTACTCCTCTTTTAATTTCGTTTGTTACTTTGCCATTCAATGTGGCAACTTGGACCAACACAAATCCGTGCTGTACCTTACATTTGTTATGAATAACTGATATATCTCAATATCTCCACTACCTGTTTCGGTCTGGGCACCCGGGGAGTATCACAACCCGCACATACACAAATATGGTGTGGCGCATATATATTTGGTGCCCTCTTATACCAATATTTATGTGTTGAAATAAAATAAAATCTCCACTGGGGTACAAAATAGCCATTAAACAGTGCCAGTTCTATTCAGTAATCAACTCTGAAAGGACTCCTAAAATAACTTTAGTCTATTCTAACTGATAAATACAGGAACATCAATTGTTTCGACTCCAATTTGATACAATGTTAGTTAACCACCCCATATGAGTATTAAGCTATACATATTTAATATCCTTATTTACTGATAAGTTATTATTAACAATTTGAGAAACTAGTACAAATCAATTATTACAACTCAACAAAATGTAGCTGATAGATAATACAACTATCTATTCATCAATAGGGTCATGAGCCTCAACCAGTTTCCCTTTAAGCTCTACAGCTAACTGAACCATTAGTTCTAACCCTGTCCACTTTTTACTCTGGTATGGTGTGAAAAGCTTGGAATTGTCAGTCGGTCACGCTCTTACAGCACTACTTAAGTCTTATAACAAGTGTTCTCTCCATTACCTAAACTCTCTCACGACGGAATATATATATTTCACTTACCAAGTAACTATCATCTTCAACTGTAGGCTGAAATCGTCTATTTTCCAATTCCGGTAAGCTATCCACAGCATGTAAAAGATTATGTTCAGATTTAGAAAATGGTGCTTTTAAGTATGAATTATTTTGTGCGACCGATAATGTCGGACGTCGTGTAGTTGTATTGAAATGATTATTTGGTTGTGAAACATAATATTGACGTGATGCTGAAGAGATATCAGGACGAGAGCGAAAATAATCACGTGATATTATAGTAGTAGTTAATGGTTTTGTGACAGATGGCGATGCTGAAGAATATTGAAATGGTGATTTATAAAAGATAGGACCATCAGTTAAATATGATGAATTTGGTGGTTTCAAATTAATCTCATTATTTTCATTATTTATTCGTAATGGATGCATGAGGAGATTATATGTGGATGATGGCTCAGCGCTGCTTGTTTGTGATAATATCATTGAACGACTCATATGATTTGATTGATTCTCGACAGGTTGTAAATGATGATACATGGAATTAGAAGAATTTAAATGTGGTGGATTAGGAAAACAATTACTGTTTTGATTAAACTTCCATGTATTTGAATAATTGTGATTATTATTAGCGTTATCATTGTTATTATCATTATGATTATTATTTAAATTAACAATTGGATCAAAATGAAACTCATTAATTAGATTTCCTGATTCACGATAATCATGATCATGTAAATCTTTATACTGGATTCGACCTCTGCGATCAACCATCTCTTGTGTAATATATGGTGAATGCTTAGAAACTGGTATACTAGCATTTTCATCAACAATTTCTAAGCCATGAGGATGGTATGGACTTGTGGAACGTGAGAATGGAATTGGAAACTGAGGAGTTAAATCACCACCACTTCGAGTGATCCAATTATTATCATTATCACTTTTAAAAGATTTCAAACGAGTTGGTGAATTGACTAAACAACTTTCTTTGGCTGTAGGCATACCATAACTTGGAAGTAATTTTGATTCTGAAGTAAGATATTGAGGCAGTGCTCTTTGTCGACGAAATCCTTGGGATAGCTTACGTGCAACACCTCGATTTCCAAAAGAATTGATATTATGTCGGTAGGAACCACTTTCAACCTCTCCATATGTGTGTTGAGAAGAAATAGATACTTGTCTGCCAGGTGTAATATAAGGTACATTCACTGAAGATCTCTCTCCACTATTTTCATCTGATCCTGGCTCTTGATAAGAACCAGATCCAACATCCTTATTAACATCTCCAGAAGGTTGAAAGACTCGCTGAGAATTTAACATACTAGGGTCACAATTACAAAAGTAATTATTATCATTATTGCCATTTTCTGACTGCATTCTGGGAAATACTTCATTGTCTTCTCCGCTCCTACATTCAGGTAATTGATTATTTGTTCCATTAAATTTGTTCAAATGATTCGATGCATCGTATTCGTCTCCAACCCCACCAGAAGCACTAGCAACAGAAGAAGCTGGACCTCTAACTTTTACGACAGCATCTTCATTTTCAGAGAGGCCCGAACCTTCTTCATCTTCTCCACCAGCAATCCAATGACTAGCGAGTGTAAGGGGAACAGCTTTTGTCATATCATGATAATTACTATTTTCTCCTTGATCGACCATTACAATGACAGCATGTGTGCAACTTGTGTCGCATCGCGTCCCTGAACCAGCTCCAACAACACTTGCTGTACTTCCTATAGTGCCTCCACTACTTCTAAGATGAGCTGCACCTGCACTTATAGGTCGACGATTTGATGAATTGCTGTTCGTTGTTCCTATACCAGGTTGAAGTCTGTTTGGATCATTATTACGATGTCCACAACTAATCGGTATAGAACTATCCGTTGGTTGACAAACTGAGTCGGTATTACCAACTTTAGCTGAAGGAGAAACACGATTAGCTTGAGAATGTGGAGAGTAAAAATGATCTACTTTGGTAACATCTTTAGAAGCAGCTTCACGAGCTCTCGCCGCTCCAGCTTCTTTAACAAGACGTGGAGTAGTGGCAGGTCGATGCGACCGTGCACATGCATTTGAAAATGATTTACGCGGCGTATTGTTACCTTGTTGCTGCTGAGAATTGTGATTGCTCAAAATTTCGTCGACATTATTACGATGATGTGAAACTACAACTGATCTTGAATTTAAGGCACTACCATTTGGTCCACCATGACATGGGATAGCATCAAAAGATTTCCCTACATTGGCCACTGAAGTGGTTACAACTGGACTTACAAGAGCTAAGTTTGAACTACTTCCGGCCAATCTAGTTCCACTTATATATCCACTTGAGCCTGCACCAACATTTAGCCGATTTTGATCCACTCCAGAAGGAATACCCTTTCGGAGCTTGGAGACATCTAGTGTTCCCTGTGCTCCAGCTACAGTGACCTGAGCAGCTTGTTGAGTTGCTATAGGTGTTTGTGTTGTATGGTGCTGATTAGTCTCATTAGCACCAGTAACAGGCGTAGGCTCAGTTGTTATCTCCCAATCAAATGGATCAGATTCATTTATCCTACGACGTTCCATATAAGCGTTAAGCAAAGAATGCAAATATATGTAGTCTGGACGATCAAAATAGGTCAAATTTTGAATATGTTCAAGAAATGGTCTAAATTCACGTGGCATAAACTTTAATAACTGATTATGATCAAACGTTTGTTTCATCAAGCCAACCTGCTCCTTATCTTTGATTTTCCGCCAAGGTAATTCACCGACTATGAATTCACCAAGCATATAATATAACGACCAGAGATCATCATGACGTCCAAGTTCCTTATTTGAATGAGCATTAACAGAAGCGTACCTGACAGTACCCCGAAAACCAGCTACCTGTCTAGGAGCTCGAATGTCTCCGTTTGCAGTTGTATACTGACGAGCCAACCCAAAGTCAAGGAGCACAATTTGTCTAGGATTTACAGCGCCAGGTCCGATCCCAGTTCCTAATGCAAAATTTGATGGTTTTATATCTCTATGAAGAAATCCAACATTATGGACATTTTCAATAGCAACAAGCATTTGACGAGCTAGTCGTACAGTTGTACTTATAGTGAAACATCCACGACGAGTTGATCGTCTTAAATCTGCTAGATTTTTACCTTGAAGACTCATTACTATATAATTAAACTGTTCATTTCTACCACAACCGATAAAACGACACGTGTGCGCACGTCCTTGTAATCGTTTAAGTACAGCAACTTCCATTTTTAATACTTGTTTCGGTTGTTGTGCCGATTCAACTTTCACAGCAACTTTTTGTTGATTGATCATATCAACAGCTTCATAGATTTCACCAAAACCACCGCCACCAATTTTAGTGTAAACTCTCCATCTTTCTTTGATTATTGTGCCAACTGGAACAATATCACTACTTGTAGACGTCATAACGAAATGATAATTATGTTAGGCATGTAAGCCTACAAGTGACTGGATTTTCAAATATTTAGCAAGCACTAGAATAACGGAAATAATAAGCCAATATTAGTAGAACAATACTGAAACAAAACTTAGAATATAAATAACAGATAGTTAAATCATCAACACCGAACAAGTGAAATAACATAGTCTATGGGTGGATTGCATTAATTCATATTGCTACACTTCCCAGAATTATTATAAAATACCTAAAAATAACAATGTGCAATAGAGAGCTAGAGCCAAAGAACTGAAACTACGGGACAAATAGATGACACAAGCAAAAGAATCCTAGTTCAGATTTACAAAAAGAAATGGTAAAAAATGAAGATATGTTCAAAACTAATCATCCCATTACTTCAGCGATCTCTATTAAGAGGCATACATTTATTCATATAACTTGTATATCAAAATTCACCTCAAATTAGTTATCAATGTGATTAACCAACCAACTACAGATTCAAATACCAGGAGATTCAGATCGCACTTTTTGTTTAAAGGTTGATAATAATATCCAGCATTCCAGAAGAAAATGAGATAGAACGCGACTCGAAACTTCAACTCTCGAAGAAATTAAGACACTGTCATTGCAAGAATATCAAATAATTCCAACGCTATACACTAATAATAAGCAGCTAATAATATTAACGAGATATCTATTCACCACCATGTTCAACTTGGTATACAAAGACATCTATTTCATTTAGTTCATGAAACTAACAGGAAAATAACTTGACCAAGACATTTTCTTATGTTTTGGTGATAAATACTTCCACTGATAATATAAGCAATTCATTATCTTCATGTTACCACGATACTACAACACAGAATTCAACATATCTAATGAATTACTGATTCATTATGATAAATATTGAAAGAATTACGTACAGCATTATGAAATTTTATACCTCTCCCAATACTCCTTTCCATAAGCGTGTTGTCTAGAAAAATGTGTCAAACCTGTTTTTTGCCCCCTAAACTAATTCATGGCTATAAATTCAGGTAAATTTCCAATCTAAACTGCATATACACCATGTAGATCATTTGGTGACCAATGTTAAGTAAATTTATATACTGTCCAAATACTAAGGGTCAAAAATTGTTAGAGGTGAGGAAAGTTAGTCCTCTATCCTCATAAACAGTGGAGAACTGCAAGAGACAATTTGGGGGCTTTTCAATTTTTTTCCTACAAGGATAGTCACTTGGGGGTGTCAAGATCATTCACCACGAAGTTTGAGGATGACATAACTCGGTTATGTCATTCTGAGTCGTATGAGGTTTTTCTTTGACTGAAAAAACCTCGGTAGTAGATTTCGTAATTTCTAAGACACGATCGGCAGATGCAGCCAGCTCGTCTAAGGCGTTGTTCTGAAACGAGACCAGAACCGCTTACACCTGTTGTGGAAGTTTGGACAAGAAAAGTTGTTTGAATAGGCCTTCGTCGAAAGTTCTTAGGCCTATAACTTCTCTCATCCTTTGCAACATGTCCGTCGCAGAACCGTGTTGCAGGTCTATGTTATTAAAGAGTTGATCTAACCTCTGTCGATCGGTTAGCTCTCCTCGTTTAAGAATCGAACGCTTTAAAGTTTCGTACAGGTCAGAAACATCACTAGTAAACATACTAGGTGTTACGTACCTGTTGAATTCCCGCGATAGTGTCTTGACTACTGCGAGGAATTGTGCACGTGTGTCGTTCACGTCGTGCTCGCGGAAGTCGGCTTCCGCGTAGCAGAACCAGGCTTCGATATTGTCGGGCCAGAAGGGCATGAGTCGGAACGAGGTTGGGGACATGGTCTTAATCTTAAATACCTTAGGAGTCTGTTCGGTCATAGGGGAATATTAAGTAAGAGAATACGAGAAAAAATATATAGATATCCTGAGACACGGGAAAATCTATCTCAATGTATAAAAAATCAAAAATAAGGCAATAATATATAAAAATCCCAAAAAGGAACAGACTCACAGTTGCAATTAAGTGTACCAGCTCGCGTCGGTCTCACCAAAGAAAATGACACAGGTATTCAGAGCTATTTATTTTGGGGATTTATTTGCCGCTACAACCTGTATGCCATGGGTATTTTGTTCGTTCTTACCCACAACCGACCACGACCAAGCAACTACGAAAGTTTAACGGCCTTGTAAGTTTCTATAGACGATTCGTACCGAAATGCGCTTTACTCATGAAACCTCTAACCGACCAACTTCGTGGAAATGCGAAATCCATTAATTCGGACGACACCGCACGAAAAGCATTCTCCACAGTTAAGGAACTCATCGCTAAAGCAACAATGCTTGCACATCAGGACACTCAAGCACCCATTAGTATCGCAGTAGACGCATCCGACTCAGCAATCGGAGGAGTCTTACAACAATGGGTTAACAACTCCTGGCAACCATTGACATTTTCCTCTAGATGATTGCTATATACCGAATCGAGGTACAGCACATTCGGTAGGGAACTCCTAGCTATGTACTGTGCTGTACGATATTTTCAAAACTACATCGGAGGTCGTGAATTTGTAGAATTTTGGTCTACTATGATATTAGTACTGCTCTAATAATAGACCTAATCCTAAATTTGTAGATTTGTCATGATATAACTGCCTAATCTATAAGATCTTACGTGGAAGTCACATCATCGACTACACCAACTCACTGTATCGTATCAATTACCAATACATGATGTAGAACAAGGTTAGGCTAGAGAAAGAACAATATATTTAATATGAATAGAAGATATAAAGTAACATTGAGATGGACCACGCCTGCATGGACGAGCCATGCCACTCGATCAACTCCAGTCCATTCAATTCATTGTTCGCGCCTTCTCCATTGTTAGGTATTTCTCCGCGTTAAATATTGAATATCTATTTTCTGAGTAGTCTCGTGTTCACAGCTTTGTGGATTGTGCGGTTATTGTTCAATGCCACTACACTACTCTCCCACCAGAATCAACGTGATGTTGGTTCGATACCAAATTGGATGGGATCGTCGTGCGTTGAAGGTTACCAAGACTAGAAAGAATCCTCCGGGTATCGGTAAGCTGAAAGATAAATCAAAAAGAAAGCGGCAGCATCTGGTCGGTAAATACATGTAATAATCTTAAAATATCTGCTTTCATGATTAACACGCTTGAAATGACTATTTGGGTGAAGATTATTTGAGCTATAAAAAATGGGATTACAATAATAATAATAAAACGATGCGTGTTAATAGCCGTTGGTTAATAACTTAACGTATAGGTAGTAAGTATTTTGTGTTTAGAAATATTAAAGTAATGAATATTGTAGAAATGTTAATATTGGTATTAGTTTTGGTTTAAATTATGAAATCAATTTACAATTATGCCGGTAAGTTGTCCATATGAATTGATTTCCAATTGCATCTGTATTAGTAGGCTAACTGAAGGAACAAAAGTATTACCGTAGAGAATTCCAACTAGTGTTCCAGTTAGTTTGATACGGTTTATTTAGTTACGGGGAGATTTCCTCAACCTCATTTTTACTTGACCGTGATAGAATTTAGTAATACTACTAATACACATGAATGGTTATCAAAACAAAATTTGAATACGTGAGTGATGATTATATGAATTTGGGACAGATAGCTAGGAACAAATCGTTAAACATGAGTGTATTCGTAAGAGACATGCTCTAGACTCAATGTTCTGCGTTGCCATAGACTATTTATACATATTTATACTTGCCGGCTGATTGGGCATACAAGTTAGTTGCAAGTATGCAGTTTATCATAAGGCGGAATACGATTTAATTGAGATATAGTGGTTATAAGTTATTAAAATCAGTTAAGCCTATGTGTCATATTACGAAGTGATGTGGTGCTGCAAGATGTATTTAGCTAAATAAGTTTTTACAAGATGATTAATAGTGAGTGATGCTCATGTGATTATCAGGGAGAACATAAGTTGTAACCAGGGGGAGTACACTCCCAACTCATGTCTATGATAATGGCTTGAACCTTAGTCAGTGTTGGGGTAAATTCGACATTGATGTTTTCAGTTTGCAGGAGATTTGCTCGACTGCTTATACTGATTATTTGCATGCATGATTGTGTCGCTAAACCATCAATTAGACTGACAAGGTTTTGAGATATTTACTGAGTGAGCATCTGATAGAGAAACATACTGTAATCATCTGTGATGGATGAAGATACCAAGAAAACAACACCATTTAATGGTAATTATAAGTCAATTTGTTGACCGATTTCGTTAATAGTTTCATTAATTTTATCAGTCATATTACGTGATTGTCAAGTTATGACAATGCTTTATGACGATATCCTGAAACTATTAAATTTAACTAGTTATAGTGTTGATTGAGGATTAGTCATTGAAAAAATAGGTACTTTTGCTTTAGGTGATTCGAAATTATCAGAAATTTATAACGTTAAAGAATCCGAGACGCCTAATTTAATTATAAATTTTAATTCAGAAATATTCGTTTAGTGTTCATTCTAGTAGGCTACGGAGTTTTGATTTTAAACGTTTGTTTAGCCAACAGCTACCTGGGGATTTAGTTATTTTACTAGTGCAGTTGATAGTACCTAAATTTTCAATCTCATTATCTAAATTTTGTTCGCGTTTTAGGCTAATAATATAATAAATCAATCCATAAACCCAAATACGATTAGCAACAACGACTATGATGGGTTTATTGATAAATGTTAAAGGCGATCCAGATGATTTCTAAATTTAGAAGACATGGAGATATAGTGTAACGTATGTGTGGGCCAGGTTAACAAACAGGTTGTTGACGTATATGACAATTTAAAAATAATGAACATGACCAGAAAATAATTTTAAAGTTTAGACTGCTTGTGAAACTTCAGGCAGGAATATGATGCGTTATAAACATTCCATAAGAAGTTACTGCATTTAGCCTAGGGACACTTACAAATATATGGCAAAAGCAACTGGAAAACATATACATGTTAAGTACAAAAAATCATTAAGTAAAATAGTTGAACTCGCCTGGATTATTTTTGAAAATTAGATTATTCAGTGGACGACATATATAACGCCATT